TACTCCTGAACATTGGTAAAAATCGAACATTTCCGCTAATTTGAGCTCAGTTTCAAGGTCGTTTTCATCATCAAAGTAATGAAAATCATCTCTGTTTCTGTAATATGTTTTCCATTTTATCACCTAAGACCATGAAAATGCGAATACAATGATAAATACTATACGAAAATACACCTCAAAGTCGGCGTTTTATTCCAAAAAAACTATCAGTTTTTTTTTCTCATTACGCAATGTGTGCTGCAGGATTTTTTTTTATGTGGTGCACACTGACCACACAGACCCATTCTCTCACATGTGGGCCTACCAGCTTTCTCCTGCTTGATTTGAAGCCGCTAGAATTATTGAGTATATATACGTCAGAAACATTGGCTCGTAAGACATATTTATACTTCGAAAACAGTCAAAGGGTTAATGTAGGGAGAGAGGTGAGTAGTACTTGTTTGTAGGAAGTCAAGTGTAGGTAGCACTGGCTCCCTGTCTCATACTTAACATACGATATTTAAAACAGCCCAGAGAGTTAAAATACACATACAGTACACTCACTATTTACCTTAAAATATGTGTAGTCTTAATGTAGGAAGAGAGGTGAGTAGTATTTATTTGTAGGAAGTCAGTGTAGGTAGCCGGTAGGTGTAGCTGGTAGGTGTAGCCGGTAGGTTTAGCCCGCCTGGACTACTCCTCATTTATTTATTTTTATTTTGGGGGGGAAGGGGGAGGGGGAATTCTTCGACCTTGGGAGCAAGTCTGTGAGCTGGAGTCTCAACCCTCAAATGGTTAAAAGTGGGTTTATTGGAGTTACGCAGGTTGATATCTTTATCAGTTCCTCCTGAACAGTATACAACATGGGCACTCATACTCAAATAATCTACTTATGAAGATGCAGATTTTCTTGTTTTCTTTTTTTAAACTGCTTAGTATATTTGTCTTCATAGTATGTGCTAGGTCCTGTTAATCATCTTTAATTGCCTACTTCTGTATTATGGTATTTTGCATTTATAAGTAAAATACTTTTACGTATTATTCAAATTTACTAAGTTATTTTTGTTCAGGATTATTATGATGTACAGTTAAGAATTTTTTAAATTAAATATTTCTAGATACTGACAGTGAATGTAAGAACATAGAACATAAGAAAGAACAAACACTGCAGCAGGACTACTGGCCCATGCGAGGCAGGTTCAAGTCTCTTACCAGCTTAAGCCAGTGCCCTAACCTAGTCAGATCAGGTCACACTTACTTAAGGAAGGAGCATGGCATCTGACATAGTAGCACAAGCTAGTCAGGTCCAACTCACACCCACCCACACCCACTCATGTGTTTATCAAACCTATTTTTAAAACGACATAATGTTTCAGCCTCTATAAATGTACTCGGGAGTTTGTTCCACTCATCCACAACCCTGTTACCAAACCAGTGCTTTCCTATATCCTTCCTGAATCTAAATTTTTCCTGCTTAAAGCCATTGCGGCGAGTCCTCTCTAGGCTAGATATTTTTAGCATGCCTTTTGCATCCCCTTTATTTATTCCTGTTTTCCATTTATACACCTCAATCATATCATCCCCTAGTTCTACGTCTTTCTAGACAGTGCAGATTCAGGGCCCTCAGTCTATCCTCATAGCGAAGATTTCTGATACATGGGATCAGGATTGTCATCCTCCTTTGTACGTTTTCCAGAGCATTTATTCTGTAATACAGTGACCAGAACTGAGCAGCATAATCTGTATGAGGCTTAACTAAAAGATATACAGAGCTGAAGAATAACCTGTGGACTTCTATTATTTATACTTCTTGATATGAAAGCAAGGATTCTGTTAGCTTTATTGCAAACACCTATGCACTGTTGTCTTGGTTTCAGATTACTGCTAACCAGAACTCCTAAATCCTTTTCACAATCAGTAATATTAAGATCTACATTATTTAGTTTATATGTGGTATGGTTATTTTCCTGTCCAACATTTAGAACTTTGCATTTGTCTATATTAACCCTTTCAGGGTCCCCAGGCCCTCTCGCAGACTTGTTCATAGGGTCGCCCAAATTTAAAAAAAAAAAAAAATTATTTTTTCTTATGAAAAGATAGAGAATCTTTTCCCGATGATAATGACAACAAAAGTATGAAATTTGATGGAAAACTTACGGAATTATGCTCTCGCGAAGTTAGCGGTTGCGACGATGTTTACGCATCAGCGATTTTGCCTACTTTGAGCCCTATTTTTGGCCAATTCCAGTGTACTAGTCGACAAAAATCATAACTATTTTGCTAGAATTCCATTTTTTTCTACCTAATGAGTACAAGAAACCACCCATTTACCGATTTCAACTATCCAATACAGTGGTCAGAATTTAGCAATTTTGCCAATTTTACACAAATTTCAAAAGATGCCAATTTCCAAGTAGGGTCCAGAATAAACAAGAAAGACATTCCTGGCACTAAAATAACGTTTCCCCTGTTCATTAGTCACGTCCCCATGCCCCTCTTACATTCTTTTGCTTTCCACTTTGAATTTTTTATTCTCACAAAAAAATAGAAGATTTACTGTTATGCAGACTACTTCATTAGTGTAGAAATGTTATAAATAATATCGGCGCACTTGTGAAAGAATATTACTCACTAGTTGATGTGTATTTGACGCATAGCATGATTTGTTTACTTTTGAACTTTGATAAAAATTGAACATTTCTGCTACTTTGAGCTCAATTTCAAGGTACTTTTCATTGTAAAACCAATCAAAATCATCTCAATTTCTGTAATATGTCTTCCATTCTATAAATTGAGACCAGGAAAACTAGAATACAACAATAAATACCATACGAAAATACAGTGCAAAGTTGCTGTTTTAATCCAAAAACACGGTCAAAGTTTTTTTTTTTCTCATTGTGCACTGTGTGCTGCAGGATTTTTTTTATACTGTGCACTCTGACCACATAGACCCATTCTTTCATATGTAGGCCTACCATCTTTCTCTCACTGAGATTTGAGGGCGCTAGAATTTAGGCGTACTAGTACGTCAAAAACCCTGGTGTGTAAGCCATACTAGTACATTCGAAACCCTGAAAGGGTTAAACTGCATCTGTCACTTCTCTGACCATTGCATCAGTCTATTCAAATTATCCTGGAGTGCTTTAATGTCCTCATTAGGATGAATTGAATGGCCTATTTTGGTGTCATCAGCATATTTGCTTATGTCGCTATTTATTCCCTCATCTATGTTATGTAAATTTTGAACAACAAGGGGCCCAATACTGACCCCTGTGAAACACTGCTTGTGACATGCCCCCATTCTGATTTCTCCCCATTTATGCAAACTCTCTGCTACATATTTGCCAACCATGCCTCTACCCAGGAAAAAGTTTTTCCACCTATTCCGTGTGCCTTAAGTTTCCTCAACAGCTTCTGATGTGGAACTCTATCGAAAGCCTTACTGAAGTCCATATACAGAGTATCATATTCAGTACCATGATCTACCTCCTCAAATACCTTAGTGAAAACAGTTAGTAAATTTCTAAGACAGGAATGCCCCTCTGTAGAACCGTGTTGAGATTCATTAATCAATTTATACCTTTCAAGATTGCTACGAATTGCCTTGGCAATTATTAATTTCATAAATTTTCCCACTGTGGAGGTAAGGCTTATTGGTCTATAGTTCGAATCTAAGGACCTGTCATCTGCCTTGTAAATAGGTACTGTATTACCTTTGCTATTTTCCACTTATCTGGCACTATGCCAGTTTGTAGTGATGTTTTGAAAAGATTAGCCAAAGGTTTGCTAAGTTCCTCTTTACATTCCTTTAAATCCCTTGCAAACAATTCATCAGGGTCTTGGGATTTGTTAGATTTTAATTTCTCTATTTGTCTGCAAACCATGTCACTAGTTACCCCAGTTGTTCATAGTTTATTATTGTCCTGTTCTACATAATTTAATATCTCTGGAATTTCGCTAGTATCTTCCTGAGTAAAAACTGAGGGGAAGTAAGTGTTGAAAATTTCACACATTTCCTTATCACAGTCAGTTATCTGACCTCAGTTACTTTTACATGGGCCTATCTTGTCTCTAATCTTACTTCTGTTTACCTGAAAGAACCCTTTTGGTTAGCCTTTGAATCCCTTGCGACTTTAGCCTCAAAATCCCTTTTTGCTTTTCGTATTCCTTTTTTTATTTCTCTCTCTAATTGAATATATTGATTTCTTAACTGCACTTTTCCTTTTTTGATATGCTTATACTGTATATGCTTCTCTTTTGACCAATGAGATATTTTAATCTATTGTTCATCCATTTGGGATCATTTTTGTAAAATCTAATTTCCCTACTCGGAACAGACGTTGTCATTGTAAGTTAATGTATCTTTTAATCTAAACAGGAAAGTATAATCAATTGCTGTATAAACTATTGTATACAACATTTATGAATATGTATATGCTAAAGTGAGATACAGTAATATAGAAAATTGCAGAATGTGAAGAAACTTAGTGTTGTATAGTGTAGCATGCTCTGTTATGGAAAGAGTACCTGTGGCTTACTGAGGCTTTGTTATTCAGGTGTGAGGTTGTCTCAATGGTTACTAATTCAATTATCGGCCATACTCAGTGGTGCTTGACCAGATGTGATGCACTTAGTAATACATGCATTATTAATAAGACTGTATGACTATGATATTCTTGGAAGAACTTTGTGTGTTCTCCATGTGATGGAAAGATAATCAGGGAAGAGGTCACTCAGGTGTACTCAGATGGAAGACAATTCGAGTCCACCTTGTGCTCTAAATGTTCTGGCAGTGGTTATTTTTGTCCTGATTTGAGTTTTTCAGTAAGAAATAAATTAAAATAATCAAGAAAATAAAATGGTTGGAAAATTACTTTTTACATGCAAAGAATTTTACAAGAATAATAATTAAGATTTTTAAAACTAAAATGTCAGTTTTCCTATATCAGCTCACCAATGTTGTATTATTTATGAACTGATAGTTTATGTCTTCAATTGTTCACATGGTATTTATCTTTCAGGTGCAACACGAACAAATGAAGCAAGAGAATTAACTTTTGCACGACAGTATGTTGTAACTGTTGCAAAAGCTTTCAAGTTGCAAGCTGTTGATCTGGTGTATATTGATTACAAAGGTAAGTAGCAACTGTAAAATTACTTCTCACTGGGACAAAGAAATGTTTCTCAGCTACAAGATAAAGGTAAAAATTTTATTTGCAAAGTTTACAATGTATTACAACCCAGGGACAATAAGGCCTGTTATCCTGGGTGTAAAGGGGAGCAAGGAGCAGAACATACACAGCTGAATGACTTTGAAATATATTTTCCTTGACCAAGAGCAATGTGGATATTTACAGATATGTACACTATACAGTGGACCCTCAACTAATGGTGGCATCAAGTAATGGCAAATTTGTCTAACAGCACTCTTTGGCATAAAAAAAATGGCTCTACCAACGGCAAAAAACTCATCTAACGACATTCATCCCAAACTTGTCAGGGAAACCGGCAGGCCGGACTTGAGTCCTGGAGATGGGAAGTACAGTGCCTGCACTCTGAAGGAGGGGTGTTAATGTTGCAGTTTAAAAACTGTAGTGTAAAGCACCCTTCTGGCAAGACAGTGATGGAGTGAATGATGGTGAAAGTTTTTCTTTTTCGGGCCACCCTGCCTTGGTGGGAATCGGCCGGTGTGATAATAAAAATAATAATAAAATTTTTTTAAATACTATTAACTGATATTACTTGTATTTTTTGTGTGAATATTTTTGGGTTTCTGGAACGGATTAATTGTATTTCCATTATTTCTTATGGGAAATATTGCTTCGAATTTAGAACTAGCTCCTGGAATGGATTAAGTTCGATTTTTGAGGTTCCACTGTTTATGAATATATCTTTTGTCTTATATAAATTAGATTCACTTATAATTAATATTCTACTGTACAGCTATGACATAATTCTTAGTGTTAAGTAGTCTGTAAGCCAATAATGTTAAGTCGGCTCATAATGCCTAGGCATAATAGAGGCTCTCTTTGCATTGCAACCCGTTATTGTAAATACAAAATCTCAGTGTACTACTTGCAAAGACAAAAATAAATAAATAAATTAATAATCTACATTTTCTCCAAACAGACCTTGAGGGGCTCAGAATACAGAGTGAAGAAGGAGCTGGCATGGGTTTTACAGGCAAGCAGGTGAGTGATACAGGAAGGTGTTTCACAGACAAGCAGGTGAGTGATACAGGAAGGTGTTTTATAAATACCTCATAGAGGTACTGTACAGTGGACCCTCGCCTTACGATATTAATCCATTCCTGAGAGCTCATCATAAGCCGAAATTATCGTTAGCCAACTTAATTTTCCCGATAAGAAATAATGGAAATCAAATTAAACCGTTCCTGACACCCCAAAGTATGAAAAAAAAAATTTTACCACATGAAATATTAATTTTAATACACACAAACTGAAGAAGACATGCACAATTACTACTCTACTAAGAATAGAATACATGGCACTTACCTTCATTGAAGATCTGGTGAAGATTGATGGGATGGGATGAGGGGAGTGTGTGGAAGTTATTGTTTAGAAGGGGAATCCCCTTTCATTACGTCTTGAGGTAGCAAGTCCTTTTCTGGGGTTACTTCCCTTCTTTTAATGCCACTAGGACCAGCTTGAGAGTCACTGGACCTCTGTCGCACAATAAATCTGTCCATAGAGCTCTGTACCTCCCGTTCCTTTAATTATTATTAATATTTTTATTAACACACTGGCCGATTCCCACCAAGGCAGGGTGGCCCGAAAAAGAAAAACTTTCTCCATCATTCACTCCATCACTGTCTTGCCAGAAGGGTGCTTTACACTACAGTTTTTAAACTACAACATTAACACCCCTCCTTCAGAGTGCAGGCACTGTACTTCCCATCTCCAGGACTCAAGTCCGGCCTGCCGGTTTCCCTGAATCCCTTCATAAATGTTACTTTGCTCACACTCCAATAGCACGTCAAGTATTAAAAACCATTCACTCCTATCAAACACGCTCACGCATGCCTGCTGGAAGTCCAAGCTCCTCGCACACAAAACCTCCTTTACCCCCTCCCTCCAACCTTTCCTAGGCTGACCCCTACCCCACCTTCCTTCCACTACAGACTGATACACTCTTGAAGTCATTCTCTTTCGCTCCATTCTCTCTACATGTCCGAACCACCTCAACAACCCTTCCTTAGCTCTCTGGACAACAGTTTTGGTAATCCTGCACCTCCTCCTAACTTGCAAACTACGAATTCTCTGCATTATATTCACACCACACATTGCCCTCAGACATGACATCTCCACTGCCTCCAGCCTTCTCCTCGCTGCAACATTCATCACCCATGCTTCACACCCATATAAGAGCGTTGGTAAAACTATACTCTCATACATTCCCCTCTTTGCCTTCAAGGACAAAGTTCTTTGTCTCCACAGACTCCTAAGTGCACCGCTCACCCTTTTCACCCTCCCCCTTTTCCTTTAAGACTTTCCTAAAATGGGCCATAACATTGTCATTGTACAGGTTGCCAGCACGGCTTGCAGTAGCTGTGTCAAGGTGATTTTCATCCGTAAAGGTTTGCAGTTCAACCCTCTTTGCACACGTTTCCTTAATCTCTTTTTTCAATTTCATACTAATTCTCACCCTTTTTACGACAGGGATGGCACTAGAAGCTTTCTCAGGGTCCATAGTGACTTATTTTGCAGTTACAAGCACTAAAAATACTGGGATAATATGAAATGTACCGAATGTATGCGTAGATGCAACCGCACTGGCTGGCTTGTGAACACTGGCATTGAGGAAACACGTGGGACGTGTCCCGGACGAATCACGTAAGGTGAGTTTTTTATCGTGAGGCGAGGCAAAATTTTTGCGTTCAAATGCTTCATATGGCGGATTTAACGTAACACGATGCGTTCGTAAGGCGGGGGTCCACTGTATTTAATTTCAGTCTTTCATTGGTTTTTGGGTTAACCCTTCAACTGTCTCTAGCCCATTTTTGAAACTGTCATTCTGTGTTGCAAAATTTAAAAAAAAAAAAAATTACTTATGAAATTATAGAGAAAGTTTCCCGATGGTAATGACACCAAAAGTACAAAATTTGGTTGAAAACTCGCAGAATTATGCTCCTGCGAAGTTAGCTGTCTCAGCAACATATACGCATCAGCGATTTCACCAACTTTGAGCCCTGTTTTTGGCCAATTCCGTTGTTCCAGTTGACAAAACTCATAGCTATTTCTTTAGAACTCCATTTTTTCTTTCAGTTGAGTACAAGAAACTGCCCATTTACCAATTTGAACTACCCAATAAAGTGGTCAGAAATTGGCAATTTGACCATTTTGTCAAGTGGGTTTTCGATAACGTGGATGGGTAAAAATACTCACGTAGGCTGGTAGTACGTATAATATAACGGAAAGTATGGGAAGCGCCAACAGCCGACCTGCCTCTCTCTGCTCCCTATCTTCGACTGACCCACAAGTGCCTACAGGGTGAGGGGTGTTTGAAATCCTGCTATGGTCAGCAGCAATATGAACAGTCAATGATTCACGCAGTCGGTTGGTAGTGAGTCATCTACTGGTACACTGGTTACTAGGAACTGGTACTACTGCTGAGAATTTCACCCAAATTAAAAAAGATGCCAATTTCAAAATAGGGTCCAGAATAAACAATGTAGACATTCTTGGCACTAAAATAACATATCCTCTGTTCATTAGTCACGTCTCTAGGCCCCTCTTATATTACTATTGCTTTCTATTTTGATTTTTTATTCATACAGAAAATACAAAATTTACTGATATGCAGACTACTGCATTACTGTAAAAATGGTATAAATAATATCAGTGCACTAGTGAAAGAATATTAGACTCCCCAGTTGATGTGTATTGGACGTGTGGTGTGATTTGCTTACTCCTGAACATTGGTAAAAATCGAAGATTTCCACTAGTTTGAGCTCATTTTCAAGGTCGTTTTAATCGTGAAACTAATCAAAACCATCTCTATTTCTGTAATATGTTTTCCATTTTATCACATGAGACCATGAAAACGAGAATACAACGATAAATTCTATACGAAAATACACCTCAAAGTCAGCGTTTTAATCCAAAAAAACGGTCAGAGTTTTTTTTTTCTCATTATGCACTGCGTGCTGCAGGATTTTTTTTTATGTGGTGCACACTGACCACACAGACCCATTCTCTCACATGTGGGCCTACCAGCTTTTTCCTGCTTGATTTGAAGCCACTAGAATTTACGCGTATTAATACTACGTCCAAAACAGTGGCACGTAAGACGTATATATATGACCAAAACAGTCGAAGGGTTAAGTAGGATATGAAGTAGCTTTATGTATGCCTTCTGGGTGCATAGTGATTATTGCAACCATTTTGCAGATCAATAATAAGTTTAGTAAGATACTGGTCTCATTCAATACTGCGTACATTAGTTTTTTTTATGTCTAGATCAAAATTGACAAAGAGTAAGCACATTCTTTAGTTAAATATATGTACAGTGGCTTATGCAAATACAGTGTACCCTCAACTAACGGCGGCATCAAGTAACGGCAAATTCGTCTAACAGCGCTCTTTGGCGTGAAAAAATGGCTCTACCACTGGCGAAAAACTCCTCTAACGACAGTGGCATTGGTAGCAGTGGCATCCTACCAGCTCGTATTCTTCAAGAAACCATTGCTCATCAAAGCTTGTGATGGCCTAATTGAAGGTACAACTACATGAACCCACATAGACCACAAAATGACCCAAGAATACTAAGAATGTAACCCAAATCTTGACAAAATAGAAGATCTAAGGAAGACAGCCCTGCCAACCCAAATATTGCCTCCGCTGCCAGACGATCACTTAACCCAAGCTCAGGAAAATAAAGCCTTCTCCTCCATAGCTTCACAGTATCTACTTTAGTGATACAGTGGACCCCCGACATTCGATATTAATCCGTTCCTGAGAGCCATTGAATGTCGAAAATATCGAAAGTCGAATTAATTTTCCCCATAAGAAATAATGGAAATCAAATTAATCCATGCAAGACACAAAAGTATGAAAAAAAAAAATTTACCAAATGAAATATTAATGCAATAGAATAATTACAATAACAACAATAACAATAGATTAATAACAAGAGAATAATTGACACTTACCTTTAATGAAGATCTGGTGATGATTGATGGGATGGGAGGAGGGGGGAGTGTGGATGGTGTTAGTGTTTAGAAGGGGAATTCCCTTCCATCAGGACTTGAACTGGCAGCCTCACCATGCCTTACCACACTGTGTATGCCACTACGATTCTTAAATCTTCCAAACCAACCTTTGCTGGCCTTAAATTCACTCACATCACCACTAGTTGCAGGCAATTTCTTTACCAAATCATCATGCACTCCAACACACGCACTCCACTTTCGTACTTTACAATTATCTCTTTCTTCATTTCCATAGTCATTAGCACCTTTTTTCTCGAAGGGTTGGCACTAGAAGCTTTCTTGGGGCCCATGCTTACTTATTTTGCAGAAACAAGCACCAAAAAAAAGTGATAATATGGAATGTACCGAATGTATCCTTAGATGCGCGCACACTGGCTGGCTTGTAAACACTGGCACACATGGTGCAGTTCAGGCCACACGTGGACACATCTCGTACGAATCATATTGAATGTCGGGTTTTCCATCGAATGTCGAGGCCAAATTTTTGCGTTAAAATGCATCGAATGTCGGATTTATCAAATGTCGATGCCATCGAATGTCGGGGGTCCACTGTACTATGAAAGGAAAACACAGAACAAACAACAGCAGTAACAAAAGAATAACACAAAGGACTCTACAACTCAACATGTTTACCCAGCAGGATGCCAGTGTATCATCAACCCCCTCACCACCACCTAGGGAACATCAACAACAAACATGACTGACTCCCCCTCCAACCCCACTCCCTTCAAAGGATTCTCTCAAGAACACCCAAGTATGATTCTTCCTGACACTGATAGCGATTACATTGTCACCCTGGAAAATGGAAACAAAGATATTAAAGCAACACTTGCGCGATATGAATCCAAGGTAACTGTCCTCGAGAAAAAGATCCAAAACCTTGAAGAGAGAATTACATCGTGAAGTGCTGACACAGAAAATACTCTGAAAACAGCTATAGCCAGTCACACTGAGCAAATAACAACCCCAAATATGAAGGTTGAAGAAGCAATCAAGGACTGGAATCAGAACATGCACACTCGACTGAATAAATACCTTGATT